GTGACAAGAAGTGGTGATCCACTTCAGAGTCTGAATAAGCTGCTGCAGAAGGAACTGTTTTGAGAACAAGGGGTCATGCTATCACAAAGCCATTCAGGTTCAGGAATAGCAGCTATTGACAGATGTCTGCAGAGTCAGAGCCACAATAATCCTCTAATCAGTCAAGGCTGATTCATAACATCGTCTCCATTTCCATCCCAACAACTCTATCGGTGTTTTATTAATTGGTTGAATTAGTCTGAGGCTCTCATTTAAAGATGATATTTTATGGTTTGTTGCATTCGACTTTTTTGAGAGGAAGCTGTAACTGTACCTACTAGTTAGTAGATAGCAACCTCTGTCATGTCACAAGGTTAATAAACTTTTGTAACCCTACCTCTTGTCAAGTATCTGGGGCCTGTAAATATAATACAGTTTAATCTCTTACCAGGTCTATTGCACCTTTATTACAAATAGAAATGATATTAAAAATATACATAGGAAAGCAAATGAACTTGTAAGGTTGAGTATTCACACTGGAAACTGGTTTCTGAGAGTTCCTTCTATCAGGATACAGAAAAATAACCACCTGATAAAACATGCCATCACAGCTTGAAACTGGAGTTACAGTTTTTGAATACTCACAATGAATTGCTCATGAACAATCTACAGAGCAAGACTTATGCACAAATAATAACAAGTAACAAACGCAGGAAACCCATGAGCTTCTGATGGATAGTTTGTGGGAAAATAAAAAGGTGGGGGGCAGATTCACCAAATACATCATTTGCTACAAATTATTTACTCGGCTTTTATTCCGGGTAGAGTCTATGAAGCTACTCTCATTTTCTTTTTTTTTCTAGAGAATAGCTCAAGCCACAAAATATGAATCTGGATCCAGATTTCAATCACCACAAAATTTAGAGTTGTTTGAATTGGTTTGGCCCATTGTGAAGACAGGGGCCATCTGCAAACTTGGGATCCAAATTTGCTTCTCAGATTCCCACTGCTCAATAGGGGCTTGACCCTGCACTACTGAAGTTAATAGAAGTTTTGCCATTGACTTCAAAGGGAGCAGGAGCAGGGTGTAATTATCCACTATATTATCTCTGTAGCACATGATTCTGGCCACTGGCAAAAACAGGATACGTGACTAGACAGACCACTGGTCTGATTGTGTATGCAATTCCTATGGCTGCACTTTAGTTTGTGCCCAGCTGTAATTTTTCAAAGAGGATTTATTTCTGGAGTCCCAATGCCAGAAGATATACCTTTTGTCTCCAAAGTATATCCTCGGTCTTGCTGTGATTGAAACTCTGTTCCTTTTTTGACAGAAGTGTATTTCAGGAAGCAAACTCTTTCCTCCATGTCTAGGTCACAGCAGAAAACTCAGATCCAGGGAGAATAATTTTATTGTATTTGTAGGTTACTTCAGCAGCTCATTTTTCCACATCAGGAATTTTTACTCTGTTGCCCATTTGACAGGATCATACTAATGATGCTTCCATCATTCTCTCGCTTCTACAGGGGGTCCTGTAAACCCCTCCCAGATAAATCAGGGTTCCTTTTAATATTTAATTTTAGGAGTTAGGAGATCAAGGTCCTTCCTAAATGTCAGGAGATGCCCTGGATTTTTGTTCTTCAAGACAAAGGACCTTTACCTTTCTGGCTCTCACCTACTTTTCCAGGATTATCAAGGTTTCTGTCAGACATTGAACCAAAGCCTTACTCTGCTCCTCTATGCTCTCCACACTGCTATCTAAAGATTTTGGAGCTTCCTCACCTGGAGCCTGCTTGTGATTTCATTTACACAGCTTTTACCCCATTGAGTCTAATGGAGTTACTTCTGACTTACTCTAGGTGAGTCTAAGATGAGATAAGAACCATGTCTATGGCCTCCACAAATGCTAGAGCGGATTACAACTTGTCAGATGTCCACCCTCTTAGGGCATGTCTACACTGACACCTGCGGCTGAGCACGCCAGCTGACTCAGGATTGCAGGGCTTGGGTTAATGCACTGTTTAATTACAGTGTAGACATTCGGGTTCAGGCTGCAGCCGGGGCTCTAGCACCCTGCAAGGAGGGAGGGTCCCAGAGTTCCGGCTGCAGCCTGAGTCCAAACATCGACACTGCATTTAAACAGCCCTTTAGCCCAAGCCCCGTAAGCCCGAGCCAGTTGGTGTGGGCCAGCCACAGGTGCCTGATTGCAGTGTAGACATACCCTAAGAGCCTCTTCAGACCCAAAGTCCGCACTTGCAGTGGGAGTCCCAGAGCAAGATGGTGGTGATGTGTTGTGAAGCAGCCGACAGCCCTATGGTGTGAAAAAAAATCACTAGTATCATTTAAAGTGTTTTTATCTGGCATCGGAAAATAGTGTTAAAACTACAAAAGAGTCCTTCTGCACCTACATCAGAGGGAACCAAGTATGGACTGGAACACTAGCTCAAGAATAGAATTTTTAAAAGCAGCTTGATAGACACTAAATTGCTTCATGTCCTTGTCATTTGGGGTCACCCCACACTTTATGATTCTTGCCCACTCAGTCTTAGGGGAATGCAGCATGGGCTGCTATTATTGGTATGGTTTTCGGTTGGCTATGGTTTCCTCAGGCTTTAAGAATAAAAACTAGTAATTCTGGTTTTGGCCCAAACCTCTTCCTACGGTAGGGTAGGTGGATTGGAGATTTCCATCTTGGCCTTCCCAGCATGGCTCCCATTCACCGGTTTTACTGAAAGCAAAACCTTACATAAGCAATGGGTATATGTTGGTTTATGATGAAGAAAATAGTTCTAGAGCCAGAAGCTGAAGAGGTAGAACCAGAGATGGATGAGGTCCTTGGAACAGCTTCTACTGCACGCATCAATCTTATGGATCTAATGACAATGAATCATGCCACAATAAGCCTGATTCTTTTCCTAAACACATTGGCTAAAAGTTCACTTTTGCAGCCTACAGCAGGGTATTTCCAAAAGCCAGAACATTGTGAGAAGCTAGAGAACGTGAAACAAACTATATGGGGAATGGAGTATATGTATATTGTACAAAAATGAGAAAAGTTGCAAATAATTGCATTTTACAGGCACATTGTTGTCTTAAGTTAGAATAAATGCTGTGGTTAAGTAAATTAAAAATTAAACAGGAACATGCAATTATTAAAATCTGTATGCTTAATATTTGAGCCAACCACTGTGGTTTCTTCTCTCTGTTGATTTACAAGATATATGGTTAATTTTAAAAATGCAAGAATGGTCTCTAAAATCATGCAAGAATTTTACCAGTAGCATAAAATGTTCCAAATATTAGTATAATAAAATATTTTACTTGCAAATCAGCTTATAAATGTTTTCCTAAAGCAAGCAGTATAATGTAGCTGCAAATTGTATTACAAGTTCAAGTAGAATTTCTCCCAATAATCACTCCTCATTCCATCCACTAACTAAACAACTATTACATTTCATCAGATTATCCGGCAAAATAACAATCATAGTTGTTTCAAAGAGAGGATCTAGCCAATAAAATCCATTTAGATAAAATATATCTAAGTTATATTTAAAGATAAGCTCAAAGCAAGGGACTGATACAAAGCCCATGGAAGTCATTGGGAGTTTTTCCATTGACTTCAGTTTGGCATTGAATCCATCTCAGAGCCCATCCACCATGTACGCTGGGCAAGTTTGAATCCAGACTTTGCAGGTCAGGCCTACCTCTGCTTATCTCATAACAGTGAAATTTATACCTGTGCAAAGGAGAGGGCAGGTACCCATAGTGTACCTATGAAGATGGTTAGTTCTTTTTATTAATTATTTTTTAAATCATAGCATCTATGAGCCCCAGTCCTGTAGCAGGACTCTACTGTGGTAGGTGCTGTACAAATGGAACAAAAAGACAGTCCTTGTCCCAAAGAGCTTACAATCTAAATATAAGACAAGAGACAACAGATGGATACAGACAGACAGGCAAGTGCAAGGAAATAATGAGTACAACATTAGTCAGCAAGCAATAGAAAACAGGGTAAATGTCCCTATATCCCTATATGTTGCTTTATGGAAGACAGAAGGGCATCTGTGTGATATTTCTACCCAGCGCCTGTGTTGATTCATAAAACCCCTCCAAAATCACCCCACAGACATCCACCCAACCCAGATAATTACCCTCCGTGGAAGCAGCCAGAATTTAGTTAAGAGAGAGAGAAATTCACTGGTACTTTTACCACTGCACTAAACACAATATAAACCCTCTCAGGCAGTTCAGTCTAGGAATCACTACCAACCATTATTGACTTTGTAGCAAAATAATGGCTTTGTACATTATTAGCATTAGTTGTATTAACATAGCTAATGGATATTAATACCATATGAAAAAGTGCTCATTAAAACATTGTAAAATGCACTTGGTTAGTGATTTGCAGTTTTAAAAGCATAACTTCTTAACTAATGTGTTTAATGCACATATTGTATTTATAATTGCAGAATTACATGTGCTTATTTTAATAAATTATGCTTTCAAAAGAAATGTGTTCAAGATTATCAGACCAAACATATCCTTTTCACACCTCTACAGGAAATGTGTTTCCTTTGGCTTTTTTTGGTTTCTTGTATTCCTATTTTTGTAGTGCAGTGAAAATATACTGTGTATAATGATTAGGGTAGTAGATAAGGAGCTAGGACTCTTGGGGGTCTATGCCTTCTTTTGCCACTGTTTTTGTTTTGTTTTGTTTTTTTGTGGACGGGGATTGCCTGATTTTGGGGAAGTCATTAAGCCTCTTTCTGCCTCAATGTCCCTCATCTGTAAAATGCCCCTCCCCCAAATCACTTAAGTGTTCATAGATTCACAGATTCCAAGGCCAGAAGGGAGCATTTTGATCATCTAGTCTGATCTCCTGAATAACACAGGCCATAGAACTTCCCCAAAATAATTCCTAGAGTATATCTTTTATAAAAAGATCCAATCTTGATTTTAAAATTGTCAGTGATGGAGAATCCCACGCGACCCTTTGTAAATTGTTCCAGTGGTTACTTACCCCTAGTGTTAACAGCTTATGCCTTATTGCCAATCTGAAGCTTGACACTTGCAAAGCTTGATCCATGTTTGCAAAGTGCTTTGAGAGTCTCAGATGAAAGGTGCTGCGGAAATGAAAAACATTATTATTCTTCTGTGATGATTTTTGGAAGGGGGAGAAGGTTATGTTTTTCTCTTTATTCTCCTACATTTCTGAATTTTAACAGTCATTTTAACACTCCTTCACCCCCCCCCCCTTATTTTCACACCATTCTACAGTATGTGCAAAGAAAAATAAAACACCTTGGACAGAATAATTTGGCCTGGGAAAACTGGCTATTTAGAAACCAGAGATTATGAAATGTTATTCCAAGAATTGGCTCCTTGCAGAAATTAAGTCTGACAACAGGACCAATATGCACTCCAGTCTCTCAAGTACACACACCCTAGTCCTTGTTTGATGCTGAATTTCCTACCGAACCAGCTAATCTAATCACTGCTGCATTTGGCAGTTCTGATCCCTGTGAGTTGTGGAGCTCAAAAGAGGAGTGTATGCAAATAACTGGTACTACAAATGCACACATCAACAGTGGGACAAGACAGAACCAGCCAAGTAAACAGCTTGGAGAGACATCCTACCGCTCTCTTCTTTCCAGGAATAAACTCACCCAAGTCTCCCTGAATTTAGTAGGCCCACCCTGACTACCTTAATAATAGATTAAGCAGTTTCCAGTGAGCTCTGCTCTGCCATAACCAATGTCTGGACAGTAGATTTCTTCACATACCTAGCACTCAGAAGCAGCCCTTCATAGAAAGCACCAACACAGTTCCCATGGATGAAATTCACCCTTGTGCAAAAAGCTAGCACAAGGCCTATGCGCCACATAAGTCCTACTTTAGCCCTATTTTGAGGGCTTAATTGGAACATATGTAGCGCATAGGCCTTGCACTGGCCTTCTCCACAGTCGTCAATTGCACCCAATCAGCAGAGCAGCAGGGAACCAAGGTGATGGTGTAATAATCAGGGGTGAAGCAGTGGGCTATTGCACTTGCCTCTCCGCTCTGAAGGCCCAGTTTATATCACTGATGCTTTGATTCTGGTGGTCTCCATCTAGATCCCTATCACTATTCACAAAACAATTGCTACCTTATTGTCATGTTTGTCAATTGCTGGTCTAGTGGAACAGTAGAAGAAAGGTGCATTTGGCAGCCACCTGATTAGGCAGTAGAGAAAACAAAGGGAACGGACAACAGTGGGGATCCTTAGCACTTTGTCTGGACTGCCCTTACTCACATCAGGTAGAGGCATGCACATTGAAAAGAAAACCAAAAGGGCTAGATCTTGCATTACCCTTGGCTCCCTTTGTACTGAACAAAAAACACAAAGGAGATGGATTCTGGCTGCAACACACCAATGGAGAACTCCCCTGCTGGAAAGCCAGGAGAGTTAGCTCCTGCAGGAGGAAAGGGTGGGGTTTAGGCAGAGCGCAGCTATTGATCCTCCATGGACAAATGATCTCCAGTGACATAGCTTAGAGCAGCCCTGACGCTGTTTTAACTCACACTGAGGCTATGCTGTCTGAGAATCAATGAGCCATAACCAGCTTCCCGACAGCAGCCCCTCCATCCCTGCACTGAGCTCAGTTCAGATATATATTGATATGATAATAACAAACCTGATTCCAGAATAGAGCTTGGGTAAAGATCCAAGTCTCAGACTAGAAGAATCTACAAGAAACAATGTGACTTTTTATGTGCACTCAGGAGAAACCCATCTGAGATCATCAAGAAAACCCAAAGCAAAGAAGTGTTCAAGGACACTTGAAGAGGCCAGTTTAACAAGGGTTTTGATTTGAAAACCACACGTTTAACCTTGCCTCTTTAACTGCTTTCTTATATTTCTATTTTTTGTTTAACTTTGAACCAAAGTCCAAGCTGTAAATCTGTTTATTGAGTTTTAAACAAACAAGATCACCCAAGACCACTAGTTGTTGCCCAACAACAATCCTTTCGTCTAGTTCCAGCAAAGTCCTTCTGGCTCCATTTCAGATTCCTTCAGAGTTACTGAAACCTTTCTTCAGGAACATCTGTCCAGATAATGTAAAGACTCGTAGCTGTGGCCCTTTGATCAAACATCTCCATGAGTGCAGGACTCAGAAGAAACCCCTGTCTCTTCTTTTAATCCTCCATCTCTTAAAGACCATGAGCTTTTCTTTAAAATGCCTCAGGTTCCAGTTTAGAACCAACCTTGCTGAGAAGGTCATGAATGGAACACACTCCTGAATTGTCTAGAGGCAGACTGGGGAAGTTTGCCACTGTATCTTATTAGCACAGAGACCCCTAAGCAGGACACTTTCCCTCGATTTCACATCCCTCAAGCAACTTTTCAGGTTCCTATGGAAAAAAATCTCCATGGTGCTTTATTGAGTTCACTTGACATTCCAAAATTAATGAGGCTTCTGTCTCTCTCTTAACCTCTAAGAACTATTGTGACCTCTAAAAGAAAAGAGATAATCTGATAAAAGTACTGCACTCCGACAGCCTTTTTCGGACTTTTCCAGAGAAGATGGTTAACACGGTTGGAGCCTTAATCTTCACACAGAAAAGCACTGAGACACAGAGTCAATTGAGCTCTCATTCTCCCTCGGCCACCTCACAGCAACTCTTTCACGTGCTGCCTGCCCTTTACACTGTCACTGGGAAAGAACCAACGTCACATCAGGTGACGGTTTAATGCCAGGAAGGTGCTGAATACCTGCAAAAGTGTGATCATCCTCAGAGGGTGCAGCACACCACCTTTTTAAAGAGGGAACCCTGTACTTCTTCTAACAGGGAGGATGCACACAGTGCTGTGAGACAGGACAGTCTAGAAGTGAATGCCCAAATGAGCAGACACATGAGCCTTCCTGAACCCCACAGAGTCCACAAGAGACAACATTCCCCTAAGAATGTGGTTGGACCTGTTCCTTTGGTGGGGATGGTGCGAGGGCCTGAATTTAAGACGATTGTAAATAACCAGCATCTAGAAATAGTGAAACTGCAAACCGAGTACCTATTGTGCCTTATATTGGGGTAACACCAAGAGGCTCACCCACCCCCACAATGAAGCCTGAATAGGTCTTTTCAACCACTAAGCAGTGATACAAAACATCATTTTCCTCCAAAGCCTGCTAGTCAAAATGCATAGTAAAAGGCTTTCCTCATCCCAGCTCTAAGCAAAGTAAAAGATCCCCAAGCCTGTCTGTATGTCGACGAAATGACCTTTCTTCAGCTGGAGTCCATGCAGAAGAATAAGGCTGGTTTCAGCCAAAGGAAATACAGGAAAAGGTAGAGGCTGTTTTGCAAAGGTTTCCTACAGACAGCACAAGAGAAATCCCTTGGGTGAAATCCAAATTCCAGCTTTCTCTGACTTCCAACTTCCCTGGGTAATAATACCTCTTGGAGGAGGAGCCTGCTTAATCCATGATGTTCCTGTTCTTCCACTACCCCCTGTTTAGAGAACAGATGGAGAGCAACCAGATTAGCAGGTGGCTGTAATACACTTCCTGGTAATTTTTTGCAGGCTCATTTGGGTATTTAGGGAGGGATTTTAATAACACCCATTTTACCATAACCCCTGCGGGGTTCATTCACCCTTGTGCCCTAGATTAAAAGCAATCCCCAAACCTCAGATTTTTGCCATTTCAGGTCAAATGGCCTTCTGTGGGAACAGTTAACTTTCCTTTTTTATAGCTATCCTAGATCCAATCACTGCAGGACCTTTTTGTTGTTGGGGTTTTTTTTCCCCATCAGAGAGGTAACCCCCACCTCTCTTTGGACTACCAGCTACATCCATCTATGTCTAGGCATAGGCAAATCATCTCACTCTTTGGTCCTGGATGTGTTCTCCAAAAATGGCAGGGGAGATTTCATAGAATATCAGGGTTGGAAGGGACCTCAGAAGGTCATCTAGTCCAACCCCCTGCTCAAAGCAGGACCAATCCTCAATTTTTGCCCCAGATCCCAAATGGCCCCCTCAAGGATTGAACTCACAACCCTGGGTTTAGCAGGCCAATGCTCAAACCACTGAGCTATCCCTCCCCCCAGATTGCCTCAACTATTTCTGCAAAGAAGAGGCTGGAATGGCAGTGCATGAGATTCCCCTCCCCCAGAAAACTGGTTTTCTGAGGGGGGGGGGTTAGGAAATGTGTTTTTCCCCTCTAAAAGATCCCTCCTGAGAGGGCATCTTTCTAAACAGTTAGAATTTTCCACACCTTTCCAAGGTGCAATGGATTAATCTCCAACTAAATCACACTCCCACATTTTTTCCATCCATTTAGGTTATCTGGCTAAGCTTCTAATGTATCATTACAGAGTTCTCTACCGTATTTCAATCCTGCTCTAATCCTAAACCCCTCAAAGAACTTTAACTGTACAGAGCAAATCTATGAGGTCCACAAGAAAGAAATCAAGATCATGATCAGATCCTGAGATAATCTAGCAAAAATTAATCTGAGTAAAAATTGCACTTCATTGTTCCGGTCTGCTCCCAGCTATAAAAGGCCTCAGATTCACTACAGGGCAAATCTTACTGGCGGAAATCAGTTGATTTACTCTCTGCATTTGCTTTCATTCTAAAGTCAGCGGTCACCTTCATGTAAGTCCTGTTTATGATTAACTCACAGCCGTTCCATCCTGGAAGATAATCTTGTCACATTTCACAAGCTAAACAGGATTGGGAATGGCCAGTGTTTCAATAGGAGACCTTCAGAGAAAACCCAAATTGCTGCAAGGTGTGGTGCTGATGCTTCAGTAGGTGGCACTCTTTCCTCTCAGTCAGTACTGAGCCCGTGCTAAAGCTCTTCTTTTGATGCACTGTAATGTTGGAGGTCTTTCCAAGGAGAGTAAAAATCAGGGTCCTGACTATTTCTGGTCATTACAGATTGCATGGCACTTTCACAAGAGTAATGTGTTAGCTACAGTGTCCTGGTCAAATTCCAGTTTCGATGGATACATTCTGTCCACTGACATTTCCCCGCGGTTTCAAATGGACCTAATATTCTTTTTCACTTTCTTTCTTTTACTCTCATGGAGTGTTGCCAAACAACTGCTGTGGGCCACTCCAGAGGTGACTGTATGTCAGCAG